TATTATGTGTAAAACACTACTTGGGGCAGGGGAAAGTCTGAAAAACAGGCAAACAGAACGGACAGCAAGGCCCCTGCCCTCATATCAGGGTGGGAAAGAAGGCATCATCATAGGAAATATTAAATAGAATCCTTGGAAGGTTTTTCAGTAATATTTTGGCTCTCTCCTTCAACCGCTACGGTAATGTAAGCTTTAAATGACAGTATAAAACATGGCACGATACAATCCGCGAAAATTGCCACTGGTCACAACTAGTATTTTCAGAGCCCTTATTTGTACCAGGACCTTTGCTAAGTGCTTTGACTTCTCTCATTTAAATCTCGATACAATCCTATGAGATACTCTTACTATGGACATTTTACACGTGAAACAACGCAGGCTCTTTCTGGGAGGTCCCTCATCGGGCAAGATTCACACCAGGCCGTGGAGTCTGAGCCAGACTCCCTACGCTGAGAGCTAGCGAGTGCTGGGAGTTCGGCACAGGGCTGGGGGGTCTGGGAAGGCGTGCAGCATCTCAGCACAGAAACTCAGGAAACATTCTCAAGAAGTTTGGAAACTCCCTACCGGCGGATTTTTTGTGAACGTTACCCGATGAGGGCAAAGCCTCTAATAGCCTCTTCCCGCTCCCAGAGTCCTAGTGGGCTTTTGTGAGAGAGCCCGGGAGCAGCCAAGGTCAATTGTCTCATCACTTTCTTCGGCTTTGCCAGGACTCAAAACCCAGGCAACCACCTACCAAGGTGATGTACCAGCCCCATTCTCCAGCACCACCACCGGTGCCATACTGGAGGCGTGCATTTGAGGAATCAGGAAGAACATGAGAAGTCCTTGTTTTCTGGAAAACTCTCTCTAAGCGACCTGACGAGAAGGCTCTCTTGAGCCACGGAAGTGGGGGTGCTGTCTGTGCGTGCCAACACGGTGCTTGGGTAATGACTGTGTGTCATAAATAGGAGATGGCATTTCTGAATGTCTTTAAAAGCGATTTTCCTTTTGTTCCACTAATTTAATTTACCAAATGGTCCTGGGAAAAGGGAGGGGGACCAAGATGCTGACTCCACGTTTCCTGGAAAATCCACATTTTCTTTCTAAACTGCTCTCAAAGAAATTCCATCTGACTGTTGTCTGCTGGCTCCCTCAGACTCTCCCTCTGTCAAAATTCTGACCCGGCAGGTGTGAGAAAGAAGAGCTGCAGAACTTGAGTGAATACCCACATCTGTTTTTGGAAAAAAGGAACAGAAGCAGCACAGAAGGAAGTAAAAGAGATAATTGCTGGCTTGAACTACAATGCATTTTCCTTGTGGGCAGAGGGCCAGCTTGCAGCAGGCAGACTAGGCAGGCCCATCTTATTGGAATTCAGGGGTGGGCCTCCGTTCTTGTCCGGAGACAGCTGTAAACCAGCGGCCCATAGCATTGCAATCAGGCACCGAGTTTTGTCAAGGAATGCTGATACGTACAGAAGCAGCTTTGTCTGCTTCAACTGCACCCCTGCCTAGTGAAATGACAGTCAATCTCTGATTCCAGATGACAAGAACTGGAGAAAAACTTAAAACAAATGGCGACCTTTCAAAAGATTAATTTGTTTACCAACAAAATGTTCCCTCTTTGTCATCCGAGATGGGGGTGACCTTCACTTTCCCATATCTAGGCTGAAAGGATGCTGACTATAGTCATCTGTTAACTCCGTCTCAGCAATTATTCCCTTTTTTATTTTTAGTGACAAGAAGGGTTTATTAATTCACTCTGCTTCTTGTTATGGTTTATAAATGCAACAAGCTCATTCTGAATTACTGCAGTGTAACATCAATTTGTTTAAATCTAATTCTGCTCCCATTGCCAAATTACGTTGTGACTCTAATTGTGGCCATATGCATGGACTTAAAACACAATCATGTTTTGAAATCGTCCTTCTTTCTCCCCCCACCACCCCCCGGCCCCGACCTTCCCCCTTTATTCTGGTGCTGCTTCTAATCATTTGACATGAACACAATTGCCTCACTTTTCATTACTTTATCATCCCAGAAATGAATGTACTTTCACGAGAGAGATTACTATGTACAGCCCAAGTGAAACAGTAAAGAATGAAACTATGATTTGTGAAGTGTGGTTGCTACCCAACTAAGTTAGTGAAAAACACCGCATAACATATGACTCATAAAATCGAGAGATCATAATAGTATTAAATTCAACCTCATGAATAAATAAAAGATTCTAAGTTTACATTGCATTATATATTTATTTATTTGGAAAGTGGGACCAAAGGACTGGTATAATTCTACAGCAACTCATAGGTTGCCAACAAGAAAAATGGTTTTATGATTCTTTTCTAGGTCATAACAGTTATAATCAGACTTATTTGTGCAGCGATTCAAAGCAATGTTTTGTTTGGCTATTGTGTTATGCATTCATAATTGTTCTTTTAAAATTCATGCTAACAGATACATGTTTCAAGCCTCGTAAGAAACCTTTTTATGTAAACGAAAGAAATCAAAGTCAAATTTTCTGTGGATCTTCGAATGTGTTGCATCAGAAAGTCTAACTGGAGCTAGATGGCAGTGAGGAAGTGTGAACCTGATGTATCAGGGATTTCTTCCTCTTGTCTCCCCATACCTGTGAGGCTCTGCTCTAAAACCTATTAGATCACTGTTGTTGTTGTTGTTGTTGTTGTTGGATAATTTGGCAGATTTACTATATTGGAAAAAATCATTAGTGAGTTTCACTTTTAGTACTTTTTTTATAAATTGATTTTACCTATAGTTACAGGATATAAAATTCTGAAGGCACGTGGGGTGGGGTGTGTGTGCATGCGTGCACGCGTGTCTGGGGTATATGTGCTTTCAGTGCTCTAAAATCTCTGCACCAGCCCCTTATGATCAGGAAGGATACACCTCTTCATAAAATGGAGAAAATATCAGTTTCTAGGAACTAATCATGTAAATCAGCTACATATTCAAATTTGCTCTGTCAAAAATGTCGAAGATCATTTACAAGCTGTTCAAGTTTCATAAGAAGGAGGGAAGCACATGGCCCTCAGCAGCCAAATTATAATCCCCTTTGAGTGTTTAGAGTATTTCTAAAAAGCGATTAGCCTTGATGCTGCTTTTCTAATTAACTATACATCACAACACTAGACATATTGCTTCCGCGTGGGGAAGTGCTTTCAGAAACATTCTTATAAGTGGTAAATCACAACTGTGTCTGTTCCCAAATGCTCTATGTGATTGTTTAAAACCAATACCTGAATATTTCTCGAACAGGGCTCTTGGCACAGTGTTTTCATTTTGTAAATCCAAAACGGAATTGCTGATTTTCCATTACGACCATCATATATACATACAGCAACGTGAGATGATAGGATCAGCTATTTTGATTGAAATGCTAATAGCTTGAGCAAAATGTATATAATGTCCATACATTTTAAAGGGCTCTGATGTAGATTTTCATGGAGTCAGCTTAATGGGAAAAAAGGATCTTCAATACAATAAATGAGTGTATATTATCTATGTATCATGCAAGGCCAAGCGCTTTCCCAAACCCTCTGCATTTGAAGTACATGGGCACAATATCCAAAGCACTCGTCCTCCTGGGAATTAGCAAAAAATATAACAAATGACTAAGGTTCTGCCCCAGATTTTGGATATAACTTTGAATTCCTATCTATGTCTGAATCTTCACTCCCATTCCTTAAAGCCAACCAGAATCCTCTCTAAATCTAGAGGTGTGTCTTTTTAAACTTCGATACTCATCAGGAAAAGTTTGCTGGAAATGCTGTTGTTGCCTTGGGCTACAAAGCCCCAGCATTCCACCAGTTACGCCAATATTAATTCTAGATTGAAGGGGGGAAAGCAACAACAACAAAAGAGAAATCTGCTTCTGTCTGTGCAGCCAGAGAAATAATATTTTTATTTCAAGGGCTTTGGGCTCATGGGACGCAGACAAAAACCCTTTCCCATTATTCACAGTGACATTTTAAATAAAGTTTCAGCAGGAATAAAAATATCTAACTTTCTGGTTATTTCTTAGGCTATAGAAGTATTTCTATGATAGAGTGCACTTAGGCCAAACCTATTAGAATAACATAAAGCACATAGAAAGAAAGTAAAAAATATTATTTCAGGGTTACATGAATGAAGCAGGTAGATGAAAATGTCTGTGTAGGAAATTTAGAAGATTAATCCAAGAGACTATTCTGATTAGAAATGGTTTTGCAATTTAATTCTAAAATTCATCTTGTTTTTTAGTTTTGATCTCCCCAAAGCATACATTTAAGAACTTTTGAGAGAAGCCAAAGGTTTAAAATGTATTTACAAACATACAGGTGTCACCTCAGTGATTGTTTTCAGTATTAGAAATAATCTCAAGTCAAATAATTTCTCAATTAAAATGAAGCACTACTTTTGAATCTCCTAAGAAAACCCCACAACACAGAAAGTACAGTCCTTGCTTTGGGAGACTTAGCAGCCAGTCAATGGTAAATATAGGCACAGACTCTGAGATCACTTAATGCCAATCTCCATTTGATCATTCTTCCCTCCCATCAAATTTTGCTGACATAAAGAATGATTCCATGCTTGCTTCAGATTTAGAATAATATTCTTAAATTTGGTATACTGGATGATTATATGCATTGAAGCCGATTACCGTACTGTTTTCTTTTGATTTTTCTAGCGGTAAGCCTACTGTCAAAGAAATAAAATATTTAACATTTCTCTCTTCATTCCTTTTGTTGTTAAATTATTTCATCCTTGTTAAAATGATGATACCAGATTATTTAGGAACATCAGATAAAACAGAGAAATTTGAACGAGCTACAAATAGATCTTTTAAAAATGGTTTACGTTTTTAATCATTCGTAATTATAAACAGAATGAAAGCCATTCCATTTCATCTCCCCCAAATTCTAAGGATCAGAATCATTACTTAAAATGTACATTGTATCTTATAAAAGATATGACTTTTGGTTCTTAAAAAATATTAAGAGCTCTTTAAAACAAGTCATTACTTACACAGGCTTTTCTCTGATTAATATATGGCAAACTGATTCCATAGTTCGCATTTACGGCAGCTCTGTGGTGGATGTTTTCAGGATCCTGCATGATTTTTACGTTCAACCCTATCTTTTGCTGAAACAAAGAAACAATGAAACTTTCATGTTGAATGAACAAAAATGCTTACTAACATTTTATATCCTCAAAGGAGTGTGAAGTTCTTTGAAAATCATTATTTTAGTATAATTCTTCTGACAAAAATTTATATATATGTATGTATATATGTATATATATATATTTGGTTTTATTTAGGCTGCTAATTGGTCTCTTTTATTCACAGAAAAGGAACTTTTTGTAGATTTTCCTCCATGTATCCTATTGCTCATACAAATATATCCTTGCATCCCACTCATTTCCTCCAAAATAATACCAGAAGCCAACCAAGGTGGACAAAGGACCAGAATACCTGGTCTCGATTTATTTTTAACTTTCCAGGTCAAGGATTTTGCCAATGAAATCTATACTACAAACACACAGGTAGAGGGCTCCCTTGGTCTGTTAATGTGGCCATTTTCCTCAAGGGACATTTACAGGTAAATCTCACTTTGGACTTGGTGAATTTACCACAATGCATTTATTAACTCCTTCACAGAGATTTTGCTATCTATAGGAAAAACATGTGCTGTCATTAGAAAAAAATATAAAAGCATGTCGTTTGAACCACGTGTTCCTCATTTTAAATAATTCAAATTAGTTACTGCTGAGATGCCGAACTATACACCACCAGCGAAGACAGCACGGTGATGGTGGAAGAGGGGAGAGACCTAGCTAGGTTCCCATTTTGCCCTCCTCTGGACTGCCGGCATGTTACCTTGGGTAAGTCACTCTCCTTCTTTGAAAGTCAGTTTCTTTACTTGCACAATGCAGCAATTAGACTTGAGGGTCTCTTGAAGAACTATTCACCTCACCCCTACCCTCCAAATGCCACCCTACCCACCCCCAACACCCCTCCCCCCCACACCCTCCCCTGCTTTGGCATTCTATGATGTGATGCTAAAAGGTAAGGTGACACTTAAGGAATATGACATCACAACCTTTTCTGAGGTCTTGTGACTTTTTACTGTGATATAATTCACATACTATAAAATTCACACCTTTAAAAGTACGCGAGTCAGTGGTTTTTCGCATATTCACAAAGTTGTGCAACCATCACCCCAGATTTCAGAACATTTTCATCACCCCCCAAAAAAACCTCACACCCATTAACAATCACTCCCCATTTGCTCTTCCTTCCAGCCCCTGGCAACTACTGGTCTACTTTCTGCCTCTTAGATGTGCCCATTCTGGGCATTTCATATAAATGGATTCCTAAAATACATGGTCCTTGTGACTTTTTAGAAAGGAGGTGTTGTGAGCAATTTAAAAAATATTTTTCCTTTCAATTGAGTGTCTTAGTTCTGGGAGTGATCCGGTGCAATTGTTAAAATGGTCATAGACACTGGGAAGAATCATTCATGATCCAGCTATTTCTTTGATCATAAGCATTCATAAATGCGGCTGTGCCTAAGGTCAGAGTGAAGGGGAAGCCTACAATACCACCTATGGTATGTATACTGTCCAGATAAGTTATTTCTTAACACAGCCTCCAAACCTCTCTTCTGTGTTTTTTTAAATAGCAGTTTTTAAGCCAAATCTCTAAATAATGGCACTCAGCTGTCCACTTTATTTAACCCATGCAGGGATACAGGTTGCCAAGAAAGCCTATCTATTTCCTTCTCCCAGAAGTATGTGGGGTTGCAAAAGCAACGTTGTGTTAATTATAAATGGCTTTCCTTCTGTGAGGAACCCACACTCACAGCAACACTCCGGGGCTTTTGCGTGGAAGCCGAGTGCCACTTTTATTGAAATTAGTACCTGAACATAATTTTTTCCTTCTTTTTTTTTTTTTAAAGATTTTATTTATTTATTTGAGAGAGAGAGAATGAGAGACAGAGAGCATGAGAGGGAGGAGGGTCAGAGGGAGAAGCAGACCCCCCACCGAGCAGGGAGCCCGATGCGGGACCCGATCCAGGGACTCCAGGATCACGACCTGAGCCGAAGGCAGTCGCTTAACCAACTGAACCACCCAGGTGCCCCTAATTTTTTCCTTCTTAATTAAACTTTCAGAATAATTTCCATCCTACCAAGGATTAGGAAATTGCTAATATGTATTCTATTGACTGGATGTGGTTTCTGTAATTAGAGTGTTTTTTTGAATGTGAACCCTGGATACAGCTGATGGTAAAAGCTTCATCTAGCATGTCTAAGCTTTGTTAGAACTTTTTAATTCATTGGCTCGGTGGACCATAGCAGTTTTCTTAGTTTTATCCTCCATCAACTTCGTGTGGGCTACGGTACGGCTGTAGGGAGGAAATCATCAAGTACAGAATCATTATTAAAAGTGGCATCAAGGGCGCCTGGGGTGGCTCAGTCGGTTGAGCGACTGCCTTCGGCTCAGGTCATGATCCTGGAGTCCCGGGATCGAGTCCCGCATTGGGCTCCCTGCTCGGCAGGGAGTCTGCTTCTCCCTCTCCCACTCCTCCTGCTTGTGTTCCTTTCTCGCTGTGTCTCTCTGTGTCAAATAAATAAAATCTTTAAAAAAAAAAATGGCATCAAAATCCAGTTCTCTGCTCATTGTTACATTTCTGGGGCACTGGACGTAGATCTTCATGTACAGGAATCCAAATGTAAATAGAAATCCCAAGGAAATGACCGTTGTAATATCAGTTATGTATTAGTTAGCTTCTAAAAGCAATGGGAGGGGCGCCTGGGTGACTCAGTTGGTTGAGCGACTGCCTTCGGCTCAGGTCATGATCCTGGAGTCCAGGGATCGAGTCCCGCGTTGGGCTCCCTGCTCAGCGGGGGGTCTGCTTCTCCCTCTGACCCTCTTCCCTCTCGTGCTCTCTGTCTCTCATTCTCTCTCTCTCAAAAAATAAATAAAAATCTTTAAAAAATAAATAAATAAATAAATAAAATAAAAAATAAAAGCAATGGGAGAGGTCCTTTAAAATGATTAATATTCTAATATTTACTATTTTGGCACTGACACATGTGTATACCAAAATAATAACACTAAATTTCCCTTTTAAAAAACCTAAAAGGGCCTACATTTAAATAATAACGTATCAAATGGTTTTGCTATAAATCACTACCAAACACATTCATAACCTAAACTTGTTTCACAAACCACCTATTGAACTATATAGGAAAACACTTAAAAGCATAAGCTGCATTATCAGACCCAGTAATAAGATCTTCTCAAGAAAAACAGTTGTCAATTTAAAAAAGAAAAGCAAAATTCGTTATTCCATTAAGCAGAAGAGCAAGCCCTGGAAGATCATTTTCACCAACAGCAAGATAAATATAAAAAATAATTTCAGAAATTTGTCTCAAATTGATCAAGAAAAGGCAGCCATCTATTTAATCTATCTTGAGTCACTAAACAATCCAAATTTGGAATTCTCTCCTTCTGATAGTAATTACAAGCAGATATATCAAATGTGACTCTCATTTAGACTTTGGTTTTGTAAGAACAAAAGTTATTATCAGAGCCAATTACTGTTTTACCTACATGGCCGCACAGAAGCAGGGAGCTCAATTTTCATCTCATCAGTGATTTTGTGGTATTTATTTTATTACTATGCCCACAAAGCTATCTAAGAAGGAAATAGCTTATGCTATTAAAACAAGGGTTTAAACATAAGAGGCTAAGGTTTTTTTTCGAAGAAGTTCTGAATTAAAAACACTAGGCAGCATGTGATACCAGCTCCCCAGACATGGGCAGGCCATAAAATGACCTACATCTGAGCAGTAGATCCCACACAGAGTAATCAAAATTGAAATGCTTCACAAACAAAGTTGAGACGGGCTATTTACTAAGTTACAGTATTCATCAGCATAACATTATTCTCAACAGTGTTTGCCCCAAGTAATGCCTTCTAAAGTGTATATTGCTTAATATCATATTCCCACTGGTTAAAGACCTCTACTGTTTAATCTTAAAACCAGAAGAAAAAAAAAAGAATCCAGTCACCTTTAACACTCTGATTCTTTCAACCATTATTATATTTAATGGAAAGAACAATAGACCTTGAATCGTGGTTCAAGCCATGTGATGTAGATTTCTCATTTGTAAAGCTAGGTAATAATACCTACCTTCACAGGGTTGTTTGTGAGGGAAATTACTAAAGTACGGTAAGTATTTTGCAATAATAAAGAACTACTCAGGAGCCTACTGGCTAAAACACAATGACTGTAATGGATGGAAACAATACAAATATATAAAAACCCCGAGTTCTTAATATTTTCCCCTCTTTTGAAAAAACCTACTTGATAAAATTGGTACATTAATTTGAAAGTAAATAAAGGAAAAGAATCAAGCATTTATCCCGCTTTTCCTGAAAAATCTATTTTTCAGATGCACCAAAGAGTCAGTAAGGGACAGTTCTTCATAGAAGCCAATAAATGCAGAAGGAAGGGTGGAATTATAAAAATCGCTGCTTTGCACTCCCTAATGAAATAATGTATTTAGGCAAACATCAATGGTCACTAATACCATTCAGGGAATTTTATAAATCGAGGGGCGCCTGGGTGGCTCAGTCGGTAAGTGTCTGCCTTCGGCTGAGGTCATGATCCCAGGGTCCTGGGATCGAGCCCTGCATCGGGCTCCCTGCTCTGCGGGAAGCCTGCTTCTCCCTCTCCTACTCCCCCCTGCTTGTGTTCCCTCTCTCTGTCTCTCTCTGTCAAATAAATAAATAAACCTTTAAAAAAGGGGGGGCGGTAGATGGAGCCAGTAATACTCAGACCCACTGATCAATCTTAACATCTTTAGAGGAGAAAAAGAAATTGCCTCCCGATATCCTCTAAGGGGAAGTACACAGCACCACCTATGACCTATTTCTGCCCAAAAGATGTTACCTGAATCTGGTCAAGCTTCTAGATAAAACCACCAGTTTACAAGAAATACTAGGGACAGAGGAAAACATAAAATGACACCATGAGATTGCAATCAGCCAAATTCAAACAGTGAAGAAAAGCCTATCTGACCAATGACCTGGTTTCTCCAGCCAATAAGTGACATTTTTTTTTAAATGAGG